AAAATAATCAGTAAAATGCCACTTACAATTGAGTACCTTATCCACTTTTAACTTCTCCTGCAGCAGATACGTCTAAATGACGATTAACTTGCTTTGGTTGACATTGGTATCCTCGGGTGTCATTGAGTGAGAAAATTTGCGTAAAATGTTTGATAAATGCTTTAAATATAGTGACGTTCTCAATTTTTTAATTCAAGTATTCATTCATTTAATTTTTCTCTCATTTTTTCTTGTAACTGTTGAAGTCGACTAATTTGTTTAGGACTCTCTTAAAAGCTAGAAGTGGTCTGAATTACTTTTACCTGTTCCTTCTGGTATTTTCAGTCATAAAATTTTAAGATAAATTGCTATCACTAAAGAGCACCAGATTGGCAACATACGATTGCAGGTCATTAACTTCTTTCTTTCACAATTGTCTCAAAAAGCTGAACCTCACTTTGACCCGACTGTTCCAACAGTGTCTTTCTTATCGCCATAAAGCATCTTTGCTTTTTACAAAAATGTCATTCAGTTGGCTATTAGTTCAGTGAACTTAGTGAACTGCTCGTTCATATAGTTTTTATCAGATAATTAATTCTTATTTTCTCTTCAGTTACAGCCAACAATAACTAATATTTTATAAATTACATATTTTAAACCAGCTTAAACCTTGCTCCTCATTTTCCTTGAAATTTTCCACTATAAACTGTATTCATAAAAAACTGAATGATATTTTTGAAGAAGAGTTGAAAATTCAATTTTTTGTTTTCTTTAACTTGTACTTGACCGGTGTAACAGAACTGCATTAGATTGAGAACAACACTAAACACTAACGGCTCTTCTTCTGTATCGTACAACTTGACCCCACGTCAATAAGGCTCTCCAGATGTGTTAGTTGAAGAATTATTGTATGTTATTTAAAAGGTATAGGAACCGCTTTAGGACCTTCACAAATACCATCGGTTTTTCAGGCGAAATGTGTCACAAGGTAGCTGATACCAAAACCTTTGTGGTATTTGCAACCAGTAAGTTTTAATTAGAAGCAAAAAATTCTTGTCAGCGTTCTATTTCTAACAATAGTCTACAACCAGCTATATCTAACTAAGCTCTAACAACTGTTCTAAAATCACCAGTCTCTGAAATAGTGATATTCTTCAGTTTATTTTGCTAAGTTCTTAGTTTGTTTACAGACAACAAAAAAAAAAAAATTTTTTTTGCATTGCCTTTGAACTGATTTTACGTACAATAGCTGTCCAAATCATGACCGAAGTATTCTTAAATGCAATCTTAGGAGATCATGGTCAGAGCACAATTAACGAGTTTCAAACATACGATTTTCAGCAAATAAATCTTGAAAAAATTTTTTCTTACCTTGTTTTGTTGAGAGTCTTTTCAAAAAAAATTTTTGCCTACTCGGTTAATAAGATAGACTAAATGCGCCTCTTTCCTTAATACTCATTTGAATCTTGAAGTTTCACATTAATTCGTATCAAAAGATTAAATCTTTGTCCCTTTCCTTTCTGAAATAAACGACAGTTTTTAGTTTTTGTGGTTGTTTACGGATGTACAATGAAAGATTTTACGGCTTGTGCTATACAGCTATCCTCGCGTCGAATTCCATTTGATACCAATATGATAAATGTGGTATTCAGTCTAACATCTGAAGCAAAGCTTTTACATGTTTGCAGGTAGAACTTTCACTGTTTGATTGGAACTGTTCGGTTGATTCTACAGTATATTAGAAATTGAAGTTTTTGATATTTTGATGTTTTCATGCAAAACTATAATTTTCACTTTTAAGCATTATAATAGGAGATTAAAAAACAAGAAATTGTGCAAAATCATTTCTCGCAAAGCTGTTTTGTAATTTAGAAAAGGCAGTTGATAAAATTTCAGAGCCTATAGCGAAGTAATCCCATGTTTTCGGCAGCGTTTACGCATTTGTGGTAGTGATGAGCAACAAAAGAAATATGATGAAGCTGTTCGTCTTCATTCGTTTCTCTGCTCACCATTCTCTTTGCCGCGGCAAAAAGTCCTACTGCAGAATGGTGACTGTATTTTGAACGCGATGGAAGTAGCTGAAAACTGCACTTGCAGAATAGACGAAAATCCAGTTTATCAGAAGTATAAACTTTGTTCATCACATTTATTTTGAACTTCCACTTGATTATTCAGCATGTCTATTTTGCAGTGACTGTAAAGAAAGCTACAAAGCTTGCCAAGAGAAGGATGAAACAGCGCGTGAAGCTGCGTGTGTCACGGCAAAAATTCGTGAGCATTGTGGCACTGAAGCCTCTACCTTTTATTCCAATATGCATAGAGCGATCAACAACGAACGTATAAATATACGATGCAAATATGAAGCAAAGACTTTGCCAACCAGCGAAACACTAAAAAGAGTTCATATTGCTGCAAAGAAGACTGGCTTTGACCATGATAAGTTTCTACTAAATCCTTTTAAGGATGCAACCTTAGGCAATTACTCTATGGAAACAGCAATTCATGCAACGGAATTTTACAACAATTTAAAAGCTAAAAAACCACTGATAAAGTCGCTTGGTGATGTACCAATTCTTAGTGAACGTAACGGCAAGCTAGTACCAAATCCAGAACTAGGCAATCGTTTTGCTCAACTGTTCACTGAAATGCAATATTATGGAGTTCAGAATGATAAACCATTTGCAGATAATGAAAAGGAACCAAAAAATAATGACACTAAAATTCCAAAGACTGTCAAAGTTCGCGGAAGCAGCGATGCGTTGGCTAATATGTTCCGACCAGCACATAAAAACTACAAAAAATTTGGTGAATCGTTTCGATTTACCATCCCACAGCGCACTGAAGACACCAACGGGCCGAGCAAATCGATGATGAACGGGCATTCACAACCACTTTGGTTACATGGCCGCCGAACTCAGCTTTCCTGTCCGGAGGATCGCAGTGTCCATTATCCATCAACATCTCGCTACCCTCTATCAGGGAATTCTACCGTACAGCAACAGCTAAAAAATGAAACTAGACAAACTTCAACTGCTAAATCGACGTATAAGCACTCATATCCATATCAAAGAACGCGGAACTCTTCAAATCTACTGAAGTTGTTACCACGTAACGACGTCCCAAATTACATTACTACATCGACTCATCCGACTACCAAGTATGTTCCTTGGTACTACAAAACGCAGACATTGCATCCTTCGTATAAAGGACCAACAGAACCGGTCTTCAAAAATGTAAGCGAGCGCTTTTCAGAGTATCAGGGATCAGCGACCGCTGCAGTAGCTTTGCCATCTTTCTCCACAGGTAATTCAACACTATATATACATAAAATTTCGAATAATACGGTCACCTCTGCTATTCAACTGGGCGCTACACAGTTCAGAGCTACTGATTTAGAAACGCTCAGTACTGCTGTGCCAACTCAAGTTCCGAACCCAGATCAGACCAGAAGGGTGTTCCCTGTATCTGTTGAGTCCACTCTACCTGATACAGATATACGTACAAAATTTGAACAAGAACTTATGCCCAAACAACAAAAACAACAGATTTATAAAGTTTCGCCATCTGTATATTCCAAAAATTTCGTGACTTCACAAACCAAGATTTTAATAAGCACTATGGCACCGACAGTGATATCAGATCCTAACTCACCACCATCATCAATTGCAAATTTTGTAGAAAGTTTGAAAACGCAAACAGAACAAGTTGACTTGACTCATCTAAGGAAAGCAGCAGATAATTATTTGACATCGGCTTTAAAAAAATTGCAAGATAATGCACACCAATTTCAAGCCAGCTTAGCTGAAAGGAATAGAAATGCTGCCTTAAATGATTCATCGGTTAGTCCATGGAGCCAACTAATTTCTATCGTTGCTCCAGCAGTTGAAAAGGTTTCTCCGACAGTTTTTCAACGAATTAAACAGGGTATCAGTCAATGGGCAGACGTCGATGTTCCTGAGACTAAAACGATAACGAGGACAACAATTATTGCAAAACCCAGCTGAAAAGTTCCCTCAAATGCAAACATATAATGACAGTCAGTGGAAGTTGGCAAAACTTAAAGAAAGTCTGCAACTTTGATCTAATTAATTTGTCTCTTTATCGTTTTGATTAACGCTCAAGTTGTTTTGTTAAGCTGTTATAACGAACTGTAAAAGCTGCTGTTGATGTAATAGTTCAAAGATATCGGGTAACCTCTTTCCTTTTTTATTTTTTAAATTACTTCTAAGGATAGTTTGCAAGGGTCTTCGCTAAATGAATCATTTCAAAAAAAAGCTTTTAGGGAAAAGTACTTTTTGAAATATTACTGTTTTTTGTACTGTATATACAGAAATTTCAGTATTGATTATCCTTTTTTTTTATCTGCTTCTTTATTGGTGCTTTTCTATTACAGTTTTTGCAAAAAGAATTTGCAGATAAAAATTTACGCTTTTTCTAATGGATCAAATGCAAAAGTTTTAAAAGAAAAGATTTTTAGTAAAATTTATGTCATAGAAAATGTTACGGAAAACCTTTGAAGCGTATTAGTGGCACTGCGCAATTATAATTAGCAATTTGGGATACTAGCAATCAGTCATTTAGACGTTAACGGCTACCGATACTTTACTGAACATCTAACCGTTTATTATTTGCTTGTTTTATTTAGGAATTTTTCTATCAGCTTCTTTAAAGTTGTAATATTTAGCTCTTTAATAAGCAACAAAAGGGAAAAAAGAAACGTAATGTGCTAGTTTAAATTTGATAGTACGATCGTAATTTCATTGTTTTAGTAATCGCATAAACTGTTTCTTTTTTTTCACACCTCTTCATGTTGTTGTTGTCAAAACTTAAGTTGTATTTGTTTTCTTTTATTGATTTCACCACGTTGTCGGTGTTTAATTTTGCTTAGATGAGTTTTTTGTTTTCTGTATCGATATCTGTATCTTTGAAGCATATAACTGCTATAAAGACGATCGCATTTACAACTGCACCGCTTATCGAGCATTACTCGGTTTTTTGTCTTGAATTCTTTGTCAGATTTCATGTTTACTGATTAAATGTACACGAAGACAGAGAGAAGCAAATATGCTAAAAATTTGTGTATTTGTGATTTATCAACGTTTATTTTGTATTTCTTCGTACTGTTGTTAAAAAGATTAAGTTTGTAGCTTTTTTCAGATTTATCAAGCATTGTTTTTTTTTGAAATCTCACATACATCTTCTGTGCTTGTATGTATGTTTGCTGTACAATTTTTTGAGTTATAGCAACAGATTGCTGTTAACTGCGTTAGTAATAAATGATTGATACTGCTGCTTGAGTAATGAAATTATTTGATGATCCTATTAATACCAACAGTATCAGCAAAAACAGCATAATCTTTTAATTTTTCTTTACATTATATTTTTGACGTGCATTGTTAACACTAAGCACTAGTATGGTTTCTCCAGTTAAAAAATTAAGGAAATTGGCAGAGTTTAACGTTCTTCTGTTAAAAAAAGAAAATGATTTTTTTTTAAATCCTTCAGCAACATACTGTCAAATATGTAAAAAACTCAAATCATCATGTTTATGTCATCAAATTTTTTGAAATTACACTAATAATACAAAAATAACAAACAAATCACCTTCTGTTCTTTCAAACTTTTACTTTGAAATGTCTCTGTTTGCTGCCTTTCTTTCACCCTAATTGACTGGTGCAATAATTAGTGCACAAAAGCATCAAAAAAAGTCGACTCTGTGAGTTGCTGTTTACGTGAATAAAAAGTTTAAAAATTTAGAAAAAAGCAACTGCTGATAAAATGAAAATGTTTAAACGAGGTACCGTTGAGAGAAGATTCCCTGGTAAAGAACCGGCAACAAACTTTTGAAAAATTCCCAATGCCCTGAAGAAAAAAGACACTTCATTTAGCACCAGAAAAGTAACACTGATGCTGATAATTTGATGAAAGATAAGAAGATACCTTCTCTTTCCTTTTTACAATTTTTACTTAAAAAAGCTCTGTAATAGCAAAAAATAAAGTGTTATTTTGAAACCTGGGTATGATCAATAAATTGTTTTTAATGCAGAGATGAATTGGGTAAAGAAAAACCCAGAGAATTTGCTTTTCTTCTCACTTTAACTTTTTGATAGCCTGATGTACATAAATATGTTAAAAAGGTTGTTACGTTCTGTCTTTGCCTTTTATCTTTTTTGATAAGAAGTAATTGTCAGTCTCTTTCTTCCTTGTAAAACTATTTTAATAGAAACCATTTTTGTATCAATGCTCCAAAATTTGACCAAAGAAGCCAAATTTATTTTCCTTTTGATTCGTAAAGATGTTTTTAAGCAAACAGTTGTTTCTGCCCACTAAATATCACTATATAACCATTCCAAACAAAGTATGTTGACCGTATAAAACCTTACCTATTATCAACTGAAAAAGAGGCAACAGTTTTTTACTTGCACTAAAAGGATTCCCATAACAGTAGCGGAAAAAACTGCTTAACATGGCAGGAGGTTTTTCTAGAAAATTCATTCAAAAGCCTAAAGATCCCTAATTTCTTCACCACTCTGCTACACTGATCTATTTTATGAGTGAAACTATGAGAAGTTAGTAGAAAATGCTTCTTGAATGGTTTTCTCCTTCAATTTGTTTTATGAAAGCCAGTTAAACAAGGCATGCCTTCTAATCCACACAACTTCGTTTCTTATCTCTTTTTTAAAAGAAATTCCAAACCGATGAATCAGCAAAGACATTAGTAAGACATTAAAGTAGAAATCGACTTTCCTATTGTGCTAATGAAATTGAGATAACATAGCAGAGGTACATCTATGTCACCATATGTCCATTAGTGCAAAAAAAGGAATATAAAACAGAAAGAACTGTTAGTATGTATAATTTAACTAGAGTAAAACTGTGAGAATTTTGCGAGAAACTATTCATCCAGACAGCGAAAACGAAATACTCTCATGTGAAACAAAAGAGGAAAATAAACTGCTGACGAGTGAAGAGAGGACAATTACAGATGACAAAGAAGAGAGCAGAATCACAGAAAAATACCCGTTGCACTCATTGCTGTTAAGCTGATGCACAGAAGCGATCCAACTTTTCCAAATTAGCGGTGTAGTAACCTATAGAACCATCGTTCCTCTAAGTAAAAAATCACGTAAGCTTCTCATTAATCTTCTCACTCTAGAAGTAAAGCTTTTAGAGGATGAATCCAACATACAGTACCACCTGCAGGGGTAGAAAATATTTCAGAAGGAAATTAGCAGCTGGTAGAGAACTCTGAGCATATGCATCCTACACCAAAATGATACTTAATTTGTGGAACTAATTAAGGAACAGGAGCACCCCTAATTAAGACCTTAGTGGAGTAGAATATGCAACATTTTGCTCAAAGACGAGTTCATCTATTTCTAGGACTTGAACACCAAAGACCGCTAAATGCTGAGAAGATACTGCGGCAGAATAATGAAAAGCCATTGCCACTCGTCTTTTTACATAATGACAATAATTATCTGTCAGCCTACTGCTGTAAACTGCTCCTCTCATCTTCTGAATGCTCGCTGTTCCGATTAATTGTTGCACAGTCATTAGAATAACCGTCCTTTTGAGGTATATCCTGTAAGCAAGAACTCGAAAAGAGGACGTCTGGAGGCTCATGGAGGGACACGCAAAGTAACTTTTTCACTGTCACTTATGCATCTGGAGAAGAAAACGCACACTTTAAAACAAGCGTGAGACAAATCTTCGTCTTAAGTTAAAGTATGCAAGCGAACAGTACAGGTATGAAAAGATAGCAAAAAGTGTCAAATAAAGCACTAGCCTGGAAAAAAACTTATATTGTAGAAGACGCAGTGCGTTTGAATATTCCCGATGACATTTTCTCAATATCCCATTTCCTTATGATCTGTCTGAATATCGGTTTGAATATTTTCTGCTATCTTTCAACCGTAGGACGCTGGAGGAGAAGCTTGCTCTTTCGAACGAGGACTTTGAGACGTGGATGGTTTCTCTTCACTTGCTCTTTATGGTACGCGTTTGCTCTTGTGGGGCGGGGATGACGCTCTGTACTGAGATGAAGAAGGGGAGAGTTAAGGGGAACAGGTACTTTAAATGCAAAAGGGGGAGTGCCGCAAGAAAGTGGGTTTCTATAGCGGCACCTTTTTTGAACACTCTAAATTGTCTTTAAAGGATGTCTTCTGCCTATCTGCGCATTAGGCCAAGCACAGAAGGCTCACATACGAAGATTTAGCAGCGGAAATGCTCCGTGAAACGGGAAGCAAACTAGACTTCCACACTTTAGTTGACTACATGAATTATTCTAGAAATGTTTGCACGAAACGTTTCCTAAGGCATGCTTTAAAGATCGGGGGCCCTGGTAAGGTAGTGGAGATAGACGACACACTCCTTACCAAGTACAACAGAGGTAGGGTCACAGAGAAGCAATGGTGTTTTGGGGGCATTGAGCGAAGGACCAATAAGTGCTTCGTTGTTCCAGTA